CACATGTGATGCACAAATAAAACCAGTGTTTTTACTTGTTTAATAATGTAAATAATAATCCTACATTACGCTTAATTCGTTGTCCATTGTGCGTATTGCCAGGGCAAGATTAGTCTCGGCCAAGTCACCACGACAACTTTATCGTCAAGTGAATGGTCATAAATAGTCAACCGCTTTCACGTGCATGCTCGAGTTTCAGTTAGGTGAATCAATTTGATTTGTGCATTAGTTTGAACTCGGTGAAAGATACGAATCGTCTTTATTATGATCGGACGCGCATCCAAAGTTGCACAAAATCGTAAATCACAGCACGTGTAAATACGTGCTCAAAGTGTCGCAATTCATACCACTGCTCGACCTCGTTGTCGTTCTCTTTTCGTTTAATTTAACAAGAATATTCAGTCGCGCTGACATATCGCACTTTTCATACAAGGTACTTTACAAATTTTGCATCAAAGTTTTTAAGCAAACATTTGATCGGACAGCATAGTTCTTTGTTATTAAATACACAATTAAATCTTGCATGATATTGTCGAAATATATGTATAATAAAGAATATACATATAATAAATTAAATAAATAATTAATTTCTATATCTCTTTGAAACTTAATTCGCTATAATTGTATAATTTTGAAAGTTAAATCATTCTTAGGTTAAACTTTGACTTAAATTTTTAGGCAAGGAAAATACTAAAGTTTAATACAGACTTCTCGAAACACCCTATATAATTTCTCATCCGCTCCCTCGAAGATTCTATTACAAGCTGCATTCACCTGCTGCGATCGGGTATACGCGTCACGCGGTGAGCTACCTTATAAATCTATGATTCCTGACATAAATCCAACCGAAGCGATTTCACCTGACGTAGTAACATTTTCCGATAATTTATGTGAATAACGCTTAATTGAGTCTCGAAGGATGTCCGTGTTAACGAGCTTGATAAACTCGAACTATCTCGCGCTACTCGATTTATGATTTGATCACGCGCGACTTAAGAGCAAATTAGAGCGATCTCGAAATATATTTCATTCTTGTGAAAATTCTCGCGTTGTCCGAAGGTAAACAAGAAACAAAAAGAGCGGTAAGAAAATACGAGACGCTGCTAAAGAAACCCGTCATCGTACTCGCGGACTCGTTAATGCTCTCCAATCTCCGACTCTCTCGAAGCGCTTGAACTTCGGCCGCGGTCGTTTGTCGTATTTGCACTTCTTTGCCCGGCGGGCGTAAATGCAGCTCGATGCAGCATCTCCTGCGCGCTTCCTCTTCCTGCTCGTCCCGCCTTTTAGGCGACCGCGCGCGATGCAGCGCAACTTCAGCTAGCTAATCGGCGACAAAGCGGCAGCTTCGCCAACTACGGGATTACAGTTAGATACTCGGTGATTTCCCCAGCTGGGAATCCGTGAGAAGAAGAAAGAAAACGACATAGAGAAAGGAGGGGATTTAATGAGGGGATCTTCAATTGCTTCAAGAAAGCAGAGAATCAATGACGAGGAAGCAGAAGCACGTTCGAATGACGTATCGAGATCCATATCACACACTAAAGAAGACTTGTAATGCTGGATGATACTTAAAAAAAATAGATAGATATTCGTGCAACAATAAAATTATCATGACTTATTATTTAATCATGGCTTTAAATTGGACGATGATGAGATTTTTGATTGTGAATCTTTCTTTAATAAGCGTTTAATCTCCGAAACGTTCTTCACTAAAAAATAGTTTGAATCTATAAATAGACATTCTGAAGGCTTATCTTCTTACTATTATGTATTTACTGTGAGAAGTACAGTCTTGAGATTGACAGATATAGATTTTTTGAGATTAGATTTTGTTTTTATCTGTTCGTAACGACATATAAAAATATGTGAATATTTTTTACATATTTTATACTAATATGCAAATTCGTGTTCTTAAAATATATTGAACATTTTTTTGCAACATAAAAATATTAATGATCGAATTCTAATAAATTTCTCAGTATCGTTCTTAGTATTACAAGTCTTTTGTAATTTTATATAACACATTTCCACGAATATAACTCAAAATTAAAAAATATCTGCATTATTTGTATTTAATATATACATTTTTAATAACTTCCACTCAATCTTTATATGTAATCAAGAAATCGATGACTACCAGGCTTATATATTATGCATTATTTCGAAATTAATAAATAAGCCATTTACATTAAACACATAAAATTTGCATTTCTTCGAATAATTTGCACAATAGGGAGATGATTACTTAAAAGACCGAATTTACATTTGAATAGACAGCGCACTTCTGATGAATTTTCTCGCAAATCTCTATGTTCCCATCGTGGTACTACGTCAACATTAGGAAAGAATCGTTCATGCAATATAGGCATGTAGATATATTAAGGTATAAAAGCCGAGCGACGTGAGATGGTCGGAAAATTTCGCGAAGATTACTTGAGACGGGTTGGAAACTTAGCCACGAGGCAGCTCCAACAAGATACCGCGAAACTAAAACAAGGTTGCGCTTTGTTGCAATCAAGCTGCGGAATGAAGGAAGTGAGCACGACCAGATGAGGAGAGCACCGCGAGCATCGAGCGGTTCAAGGTAGAATCGATGGACGGAGAAAGAGAAGCTTAACGAGACACGCGAGGAACTACCACCAGGAAAGGAAGATAGTATAAATAGATACCGGAATGTATGATACGCGCGCGTGGGTCGAATCAAAACATGATCATCTATGCTTTCGTAAGGATATGCTTTCAAACGAATTTAGGCAATTTATTTTCTGATAAATTACCCGCAATGGAAAACCAATAAATCGTGTAAGCAATTTATAAAAAAAAGAAAAATACTATTATTTATTTTTTTTTTTTTATATAAAATTATTTAAAAGTTTTGCGTATGTGATTTATAATTAGTTTTATTATACATCTCATTTTTTATAATTAAGAAATCAGATTAAATTATGCTGCAAATAAAATAATTCGTTTCTTTTGCCTTTTAAATAAAATAAAATCCGTGTAAATTACCTAAAACGATCGTACTAAAAAAAATACAGCGCACGTGCATACACTTTATTGTAATTAAAATTGACAACTCGCGGTTTCTTACTGTTTATTTCTACCGTTCGACGTAATCCATTGGCCTGTCGCCTATCGGCTCTTCCTGCCCGCATACTGGTCATTTAATCGGCGACAAAGCTGCAGCTTCGCCAACTATGGGATACAGTTAGACATCCGCAGATCCGGTCAGCTGAGCGAGCCACGAGGATGAGCGAAAGAAGGGATGAGGTAGAACAGGAAGCTCGAAGGGAGCACGAACATTGTGAGGCGGTAGTGGAAGATGGAAAAAAAGGTAGCGGTAAGAGTGTATAGGAGATGATAGTATACGGAAGAATGTGTGTACACATGTGAGATATATACAAACAGAGATGAGCATTAAGTAAGATAGAGAGAGAGAAAGAAAGGAGGAAGGGACTGCTGTTGGCCCTTTTACGAGCAGAGCCGTATAAATGGACAAGAACACGAAGGCGTGTGAATTGAGCATGTTGCTCATGTTCGAATAAATGGATAGTTAACGTTAATGTTGCTGCGAGGGGTCTCTCTTTAATCGAGACACAAAAGAGTCGCGTATATCCCACACTCCGTTGTAATTAAAGCGGGAGTGCGCTTTTCCCTTTCACCCGGTTACCGTTGCAGAACACCATCTCGTAAGAGGTGACTGTTACACGAACGACGTCGATGTCGAAAATACCGAGAAAAAAAAGTAGTGGATTCATTCGATCCAAAGCAAAGTTCGATAGAGCGATTTCTCCTCCTTTATATAATATCAAAAATATTATATATGTTACCTTTAATCAATCTTTGTAAATTGATATTATCCGGGGTTTATTATTACAAGATAATGTTACGATATTACGATTATCGCTTTAAGATTTAATGATTCAAGTACGTTATTTACACAGCCTATACAAGTGTTCCGGTTGAAAAATAAGTTTTGCACAGAACTTCCCCTTTAAATTTGTCTTTCGCTGAATTTTCATCGGCTTTCTCTAAAATATATACACACCTATTTAAAAGCTTCCAGACGATCATTATATATTTTCTATGGTAATTTAAAACACATACATACAAAGCGTGTGTTTCGTGACGCGAACAGCTCGCGGGTTAATCTTCGGTCAGACTCCTCTCAAGTACCGTCCAACGACTACCTTCTTCCTGCCGTGCGCTAATCGACGACAGAGAGTAACAACTGCGCCAACTACGGGAATACAGTTAGACATCCGCGGATCTGGCCAGCTGAGAGAGCCTCGCAGAAAGGGAGAGAAAGGGACAAAGCGGGATGAAAGGCAAGGAGAGCGGTCGAGAGAATGGCGCACTTGAGAGAAGGCGGAATCGCAGCGGAAAGAAGGAAGAGATGTGGAGAGAGAGAGAGAAAAGAGGATCTGCTCTCCGAGGAGAGAGAAGTATCCGCCGGTACTCGGACGAAGTACGTAAATAGATGCGCGCGGAACAGGCAGAAGACGCGAGGGCGTGTGAATCGACCGAGCTTAAGAGCCCTACGTGGTGGGTGTGTCCCAGCTTCCGCATACTCACCGCGTGTTGTTATCTTCCGCAACGCGCGACGTCGCGCGAGTATAAGCGCACGTTTCTGCCATTGCGTGTCTCTATGTGGAGCACTTTAAACGCGAGACACAAAGGCTTACGACATCGCGCGAAAAGCGATTTAAAGATGGAAATCTGCGAGCGTTTTGTCGCATCCTTTAAATCTGTCTCTTTAAATTAACTTTACTTTTGCGACAGATCTCAGACAAAAATTTGACAATTTCAGATTTTTACATGTTACGATTTATTAGTATAAAAACTTGTGTAAGGATTATCATTTGAAATTTGTCCTTTTTCTTGACGAATTATACCGCAATTCTTTTCATGTCGAATTACTACGATTTCGACTATTTTTGTCGTATAATTTTTTCTCCAAATATTTCTTAAAAAGAATTTTATGCTTTTGCAAAACTCACCGGGAAGTGACAGGCCACAGGTAAGAACGCGTTCCGGCAAGTCGTGAATAGTCCTCGGTAATGCTACTTCGTCGACTCGTTTTTGGTTCCTGAAACAAAAGCATGAAGAATTTCATTACACCCATTGCATTTTAATTTGACAATTAAATTCTAAATATCAGCATATCCATACATACAACAATCGATAAAATTGAACGTGGGATTAATAAAACTACGTAAACGAATCTCAATGGACACCTCATCGAAATTTGTCTCAATAACGAGATCGAATAACTCCCTTATGATCAATTGAAAATTATTGACTGACAGAATATTTATAATTTGATCAAATTTTTTAACATTATTATAGTTGTATAATTGTTTTTAACATGCAGCGTTTCTATTTATTCTTTTTAAATTATAAAAATACATTATGTCAAGCATAAAATAATTGAAAAAAAGAAAAGTTTTATTTCTTTTCTTACACAAATCGCTTTAACAACTAATTTGAAATTTTATTGGCGCACATTACTAATTTATTTGCATCTTTTTATAACTTAAACTTTAAAAAAATTCAGTCTTTCTATAAACAGCTGATTGTATTTTGGCGGTTTTTAAAAATAACCTTCTAGTAAAAGATGATTCTAAATAGAAATTAATATATTCCTAATTAGATATCAAGTATTGAAATGTTAAGTAATTAATTACTTAATTTTATACCAACATTGGAATAGTGACAAACAGTATTTCAATATCTCCTATTGAACAAACATGCATGTCACGCTGCGCTATTAAAGAAAAACATACACACATCTCTACAGAGTGAATAATGCCAACTTGCTTCATCGAACCATTAAATACGTTTCTCCGATTAATATTCGTTTTACAAGATACAGAGATCGATCGAAGTGCGCGCCCGCTACCGAAACGAAGCCCATTTGTCGATTAATCGCGATGGGAAACGCAAACGTGTATCGACGAACACACGCGTATACCTACGTGTATATATACGACGTCTGCAGAAACGAAACTCGGACTGTGCCAGCTCGCGAGCTTGACCTTTGGTTGAAAGGCCCCCTCTAATTCCACCTTTTAACCCTCATCACCTCCTGCCAGAGGAACTGGCGAAGGTAAACGGCGAAATGCGCGCGTATGTTCTCATCTCCTCGAGCGTGTATGCATCGCGCGATGCATCCTCACGGCTCTCGACGGAGCACTTTCTACCTCCGAGACTAACACGTCGAATAATATGTATCTCACGTCGGCAGTTTTAAATAGCGTTACTACCGCGCGCGAGTAGCGAGGCGCGAATACCGGACGTCTCATTCATGACGGCGCAGAAATAATCGAAAGTAAGCGAGCATGAGCGGCGTCTCTCTTGTCAAAGCGCGCATTCACTTATGCAAAGATCTCGAGGAAAATGTAATCAAGCATAAATCTCAACGCTGCTTAAGTTCGTCTTTTCTCTATTCTACTCTCTCTCTCTCTCTCTCTCTCTCTCTTTTATCTCCCGGAGATCAGCGTGATCACGATTTCAATGTATAACTAACGCTGATAAAATACGCGATTCTCCGTGAAACGCGCGGAAAAAGTTTATCGTTTACACCTGTAGACGCATTTAGTGACGGTCGTTAAACCGGTTGCGATAAGTTTTCCGGCGCGGTATCGTGAATTCCGGTCGTGATGCTGTGATCAGATCATGTCAAGCATCATATATTGGGAAGCTCTGCACTTTTTACGCAAATTGTCGGCCACGCGACACACCGCGTGTGTCCAATTAGCGGACGCTATTTGCACTCGGACGCTTATTAAGCGATTATAAGACGTTTCACCGCGAATGCTAATTGCAGACTCGAGCAGCCTCGACTTTATCGCGCGTTCCCTGCTCTTATTAAGTAAATTGATCCGCCGCGAAATCGGAACGACGCGATTGCCGTCCGCAAACCGCGCAAGACTTTAAACCGATAAAAGTGCTCTGCGTGTCTAGCACGCTAAATTTAAATGTGCACCAAGATACGATCAATTAGTGTTCACCGTGCACACGCGAGAAGTGACGATGGGCCATGTTTGTTCCCAATAAAAACATATCTTTCGCGGATGTCACGCGAAACGCGTATATATGGACCGGTTTGCAACACGCGAGTAAAATAAGCTGCATCATGGGCGCGATTTCTGAAATTGCACAAACTGTCCGCAAAAGTTATACGACGTTAAGATTGCCAGATATTGAAATTTTGCTGAAATAAATTCCACTTAAAATTAATTGAACCGTAAGATCGTTTTACTTATTTGCATTTCTGAAGCTTCTCTTAAAAATCGCAAAATATTATATGTAATTGTAATATTATTTTATATACATATAGAGTTAGCTAAAGAAATTTTTTAAATCTCAATAATTATTATATAATTGTTGCTATAGTTTTTAGATGAATTCTTTAGACTGTTTGAAAAAGTAATTCCGAAATATATAATAATTTTGCTTGAATCAAAAAAAATATTCTGAACAAAGAACATTAAAAATATTCTAAACGAAAAACAATTTCAATCAATCGTCATGACGTTACACTAACTATCGATGCATATCGCTGTGGCAATTACCAGAGGATCTGCAATGACTGGCTATCTCTCCTCGCGTATGGCTATCTATTCCGGAATTACTCTATCGTAGGCCGTATTCAATCGATAACCAATAACTAATAAATCGTTTCTCGCATAACTGAACGACAACGAGTCCGTTATTGGTATTCTCTTTTAGTATTGAAAGTACAATCCGACATTTATGTTTATATTTGCGGAATAACGATGACGGGCGCGACACGCGACCCAGTTTAGTTACCAGGTGCAGTCACACGACTGCATTCGTGCACGTGTATGTATGTATAACTCGAAGAATTATTTCGCGAATGCGGTTTGCGGTATGTCGGCAGCCTTAGCAAGATTCGCATGCAAATTTTCACGCTCGGTCTCATTACGCGGAGGAATGAGTCGGGGACGAAGAAGGGAGAGTGTTAATTATGCAGTTAATGACGTCGATGAGCGCGTGCATTTCGCGAGACAATGAACCTAATATATCAACTCCATCAAAAACCTGCGAGTCGACGCAACAGTGAAAACGAAGACAGCCGCGTTAAGACACGCCTGTAAAAAAAAAACCGCTATTATCGGTGATTTATCGACGACGGTTCTCCGAAGAACTCGTCGATCATTCCGTCGGGCCGATGGAACTGCAAAAAATAAAAAAAACATACGCATACGCAGGACCACTTTCCTCCTCCGCTTTCTTTCTCTGCTCTATCGTCCGTTTCTGCAGAAGACTGCAGAAAAAGAGCAGTTATCTGAATAAATACGTAAATCTTCATCGCGCTCTAATCTTCGAATGGTCAATAATTTACGTAATAATGCTCTTTTGATTATAATGAAGCAATATACACGCATCATATAAATGTTGCAGAGAGATTTATTTCTTATCTTCCCTTTTTCATAATTTATAATGTTCGGATTAAACACTCACTACTTGAAACAAAATATCAGAAATAAAGAAAATAGCTTTATTAACTCTATGTTTCATATATTTGTTTCTACTAAATTACAAAATATATTGTATCACTCAAATTTATCATTCAGTATTATCAATTATTTTCCATTTAATTTTATAATAATTGGATTAATTGAATAAATCAAATAATCACCGGAAAATTACGTACGCCTCGTCAGCGATAAACAATAATGTATATCATTCATACGCAATATCTAAAATAACAATAACGATTAATGTATCCTTTCAACACAGTTGATTAATACCGCGCTAATATAAAATATCGCTCCCCTATCCCTGAGTTAACGGAAGTCTGCATCATTTTATTTCTCGCGATAGGAACTTCCGTTAGGGCAAGTGCAGACAATTAGTATATTATCATTACTTTATCAATCGAACATAATTCACGTTCGATCATGTATTTATTTATTGTGTTACGAAGATACAATACTACAAAGATATGAGCAGTTGGAAAAATAATATTGATGTTTTCTTTGAATTTTCATGATATACACTAGTACGTCACTCTTCCGTTTATAATTATATTTATTCAGTGTGATAGAGACCGAGAAAGAAAGCGAGAGTAACGTGAAGGGATATTATCATATCATATCATCATAGCGGTCCTGACAAATATGAGTAAAGTTAATCACTGATAATAATTATAATTAAGGCGAATTCACATCTCAGAGTAATATGCGGGATATTCGCAATTATCGCCGATGGATCAGTAGATATTATTTATGCAAATTGCGTTTAGCTACCGTCGCACTTTCGCTCTCTCTCCTGACAGGGTTTCTAATTTCTTCTAGCCGTCAAAACGGACAGGATTTCGAATTCATTGGCGAGTAATCCGCGCTAACAAATCGCCGCTGATCAATACAACGTCGTTAGGAATTGCCGGTTATCACGCGAGGAAAACAGCTGATGAGACCAACCGCCTCGGAGGATAATAGGCCTTCTTCTTTGTTCGAAAGTGCACCGACGAAGAAACGATCGAGAGACACGCGACCGTATCTATTAGAGCCATAATTTAGAGTAAACAAATTTATATGAACGAGAACCGGGCATTTCGAACGCGGGATTTCGCGGAAGAGAACACGACGGCATCACGCGAGAGACTAACGCGCAAAGCAGTAAACGTCCAAATGATTTGCGATAGAAAATCACAATTATATACCTTCGTTGTAAAAGCGATTAAAAGAAATTACACGTGTGAATCGAGTGTTAAATTAAAAGCTGTCATACCATATAACTTCCGCTCGATTCAACTTGTTCTGGTACAAACGCGTTATGTAATTCAATAATTCAATCAATTTTAAAATAATTAAATAAATAATTAAATTCATAAAATTATTATGTAATTTGAGAAAAAATTAATCTTGAAATTAAAGCAATGTAAAATTATTGAATAGAGTAGTCTATGGACATAATTGCGTGTATAAACGCAGAAAATAATTATCAAAACAAACGCTAATTGTATTAGCGAAAAATAATTTTCTGACATCACAATTCGTAACATCGGAAAGTTCATTTGAGCGAATCAACTTCGTGGAAGCTTTCTTCTTTCGGATC